TTATCAATCAGATAATTAATTGTACTATTAATACTGTTGTTGTTGTTATTTGCCATCGAGTCGGCCCTGACTCATAGCGACCCCTCCTTGGGTTTCCGAGGCAGTATCACTACGGAAGTAGGAATGCCCAATAGATGCTACTTAATAGAAAAGAAGTAAAACTGATTACACTTCATTCATACATGTATTAAACTTTCACCGATGAAGGCCTAATATGTTAATCTCATATATCATCTCATCTACTAATTGGCATATGTCAAGTAGGATACTTTTTGACAAGAAACTGAAATAGTAAGTTGTATTCTACATCCATCAAAATAATGAATTATAACCATCTTCACAAAAAGTCAATATATTTACTTATTATAATTCTAATTAATAAGGCTGTATTATCATAATTTCTTAAGGAAATAAAGTATCAATAAAAAGAGTAGTTCACTCTGATTGTTACATCCTTTTATCTGTTATCTGCCTCTCTTAATAGTTTATCTTAAGAAATTAAACTTCCAGTAATACTATATTATATAATCCAATGTAAAAAGATAGTAAGTTTAAAAACAGTCTAAACTAGAATTCCTTTTAGAAACCAAACCAAACCATACCTGACAAGTGTTAGTAATTAGAGTACTTTATTTTCTGAAGAGCTTAACATTTTGGAAATTCAAGTCACACAAAAGCTAAGTGATACAGAATCATTTCATACTGACTTTCTGTTGTTTACCGAAGTATAACATTAAGAGTCTTGAGATTCAGAGTAAATCCACTGACATGTACATGACACGAACATTACTTTGTAATTTACAAGAGACCTTTATAAATATCTCAAGTTAACAAGACAGACATTACTATTCCCATTTTCCAAATGAAAGAAGTGAGGTTCAGAAAGATTAACTCATTTATCCCATATAACACGTCTAGCATGTAAAAGACTTTTCACATTTATACACACACACACACACACACACACACACGAATATGCCAAGGATTTACAAGAAACAATACTGCACCTGAGACCTTAAAAATACTATGGATAAGGACTTTCAAAAATGCATTGCATGTTAAGAGTATCAATTTTTTTTTTCCAATCAATTAACAACAACAAAATATCCAATGTTGCTGATAATTTCATGAAACTGGCACTCTTACTCAACTCACTGTTGAAGCCATTCTAAGCTGGTACAACCCTTTTAGAAAGCAATCTGGCAATAATCTAAGAGTCACAAAAAGTGCTCATGTCTTTTCCTAGTAATTCCACTTCTGGGAAGCTAGCTTACAGAAATAATTCAAAATATGAAAAATGCTATAGATTATTTATAACATCCTAGAATCTTGGCATTTGTAGATTTCACATTTAAGGTTTCCATGCTGGCAATTTCAACAGTTTGTGAGAGAACCAGAAGTTGATCCACAGCATATGTAAAGTTGCTGTGTGAGAGAAGTCACGCAATTGACTAGTAAGTCTGACAGCCAGCATCAGCTTCTCATTCAGCCCGATGGCTCACCACTAGTCCCCTGGTGCAAAGAAACATTTCTAAAATGAAGGGAAGAGGGGTATGACCTTTGTTAAAATGTTTTTAAAATTTAAAGGAACTGAGAAAGCAAGCCAATTATTTAGCTGGTGT